GAGCGTTCACACTGCAGTCACTTTGAAAACATCAGATATGTATCTTATTTAAAACCACATACTGAAACGGCCTGGGTCGGATTTGAAAAAAATCGGATTTGACTCGTTCAGACTGTCGTAAAAAAATCGGATATGAGTCAGATGGGTCAAAAAAATCGGATTTGGGTCGGATTTGCCTGCAGTGTGAATGTAGCCATTGTGTGTGTGTGTGTGTTTGTGTGTCACCATCCAGCCGCAGCACAGACGGTCTCAGGAGCATTAACCCTTTAGGGCCCAGACTTAAAATGTGGTAAATAAATTATTTTTAGTGACTGAAAGTACGTTTTTTTTTTTGGATAGTTGCATTTTTAACTGTTGCCTTTTAATATCTACAAGAGTTGAGAGTTCTTCTTAAGTGTTACAAAGACAATTTGTAGAAACAGGACATGATTTGAGGATTTTTACTGCTAAAGTTTTCTTTTAAACATGTTACCGAAGTAATAAGAAGCAGGTTTATTTTGAATAAACATAATGTGTTCATTCCTACAAAACTGTCAAAAATATTAACAAAATACACTAAACTGATTCAGATTAGAATAAAAATAAACATTTATAGTTAAATGTCTGTCACCCCCCAAACAAAAAAACAAAAAAAAAACAGCCCACCACCACAGTTAAAAAAAAACCTAGGGGAAACCCTGACCACTGTCACAGATTACATATTATTTTACGGACTGACAAAGAAAGATATAAGCTTAAATAAATGTTTACTGTTTAAACTTACGAGAAAGGAACAGGGAATGCAAATCGCTCCTTCAGGTCAACACTCATGAAGGGCACATAGGCAATGCCATTGATTTTAGATGTACTCCTGAAACATTTAGTAGAAAATAGAGGCTTTAAAACATTAAAGAAATTCTGGGAATTAATTCTGTAAAACTATTTTTTTTTTAATATCCTCTATTAACCTGAGCACTTCGATCTCCTCTGCTGTGTAGCGCTGACCCTGGGGCTCACTGGACTGGACCGCCCGGACTGGATGGGGCTGCGGTCGGTCGTGGAGACTAAAGTCCGACCCGAGGGGGAAAAACTGGCGAGCAGATCCTCCGGCACCGGCGCTTACCTTCGCACCAGAAGGTCCTGTCCTGTCCTGAGTCTGTGGAGAAGTTAATTTGGACTGGAATTCTTTGAGACCCTCCGCCCTGAAAAACAGTTTTTTAAATAATAATTTAAAGCAAAATCAACAATAGGACAAGAAATTTGACAAATATAATGGATAATTTCTTGTGATAACCTGTTTGTTTAAATGTTTTACTTGTTTTTGTGTTTGCAGCTGACACTGGATCTACACTTTTGCTGCTGGCACAAGGAAAACACAAAGAGCTTTATTGTCTGGTTTAACAGATTCAATGAAATTAACTGGGGTTGGATTTATAAAACTGGCGTAAGCACAATTTGAGCCCAGAAACCTGCGTACGCCACTTTTTACACCAAGGTTGTGATTTATAAAATCCAAACTTGACGTGAAAATGTGCGGTACCTCACGCCAGCTTTGACCCATGCGTACGCTCATTTTGGAGACGTGAAACTGCGACACAGATGGTGAAGTGAGGAATTAGAGCCACACTGTGTCATGATCACTGTCAGATATTTAATTTACCTTCAGAATCAAACTTAGATTTTTATTCAGCTTTATCATCAGCTTTCTGAACAGTATTATTTATGCTTCTGCTGCTGAGCCATGAGGACCTTTGAAATAAAAAAAAGCTAAATCTTAAATAAAAGTTCCCGTGCACAAATCCCTTCATCTGCTTCCTCCTCAGACGACCCTGACCCACAGACCCCTCCCTGACCCACAGACCCCTC